GAAAGAACTTTTTCAGTATCCGAGTAGTTAACAGTTGGAATGCATTAGGCAGTGATGTGGTGGAGGCTGACTCCATACACAGTTTCAGGTGTAGATATGATAGAGCCCAATGGGCTCAGGAACCTGTACACCAGTTGATTGATAATTGAGAGGCGGGACCAAAGAGCCGGAGCTCAGCCCCCGCCAGCACCACACGGTGAGTACAAGACGCAGCCCACAGGAGCTGCCTCTGTGCTGCTACATAAACAGAAGCAAAAGGTGATCAGAAACGCTGCCAAAATGTTTCTGTCACAGCCGGGTATTGATTCATTAATTCTGGTCTAACAGCCTGGTTGATCAGTCCAGCAACCAGGAGGCCTGGTCGACGACCGGGCCGCGGGGACACTAAGCCCCGGAAGCACCTCAAGGTAGGGGATATATCCCTGGTGTGAGGGCCGTCTTCTTCCCCCTCACCTTACCTGGGGGTGGGGTGGAGCAGGTGGTGGGGGCCTGGTTATCGTGGTGGGCATCAGGGGAGGCGCGGTGAGACGACCACAAGGGCGTCGCTACCCGTGTCCGCGTGTGGGGGGGCGGGGCCCTCAGATAAAACTATTTGCATAAGCAGCAAAACTTGCCATCATTAATTCTGGTTATCTGGGATACTATGAGGCGGGAGGCGGTGGTGATAGCGAGCCATCAGCGACCCAGTGGGTCTGGTGCTGCCCACTGGGCCCGCCTGGGTATCTGCGGGGCCCCGTATCTGTGACAGGACCAACCATTAGTCCAAGTGTCCCACCTCCAGTGTGATGTACCGAACACTTCCTTAAATCTAAGCAGTTATTATGCGCTGCTCCTGGGACCCCTTGGGTGGTGATCCCAGCGCCCTCACAGCCGGGTACACACAGCGCCCTCACAGCCAGGTACACACAGCGCCCTCACAGCCAGGTACACACAGCGCCCACACAGCCAGGTACACACAGCGCCCACACAGCCAGGTACACACAGCGCCCTCACAGCCAGGTACACACAGTGCCCTCACAGCCAGGTACACACAGCGCCCTCACAGCCAGGTACACACAGCGCCCTCACAGCCAGGTACACACAGCGCCCTCACAGCCAGGTACACACAGCGCCCACACAGCCAGGTACACACAGCGCCCACACAGCCAGGTACACACAGCGCCCTCACAGCCAGGTACACACAGCGCCCTCACAGCCAGGTACACACAGCGCCCACACAGCCAGGTACACACAGCGCCCTAACAGCCAGGTACACACAGCGCCCTCACAGCCAGGTACACACAGCGCCCACACAGCCAGGTACACACAGCGCCCACACAGCCAGGTACACACAGCGCCCACACAGCCAGGTACACACAGCGCCCTCACAGCCAGGTACACACAGCGCCCACACAGCCAGGTACACACAGCGCCCACACAGCCAGGTACACACAGCGCCCACACAGCCAGGTACACACAGCGCCCTCACAGCCAGGTACACACAGCGCCCACACAGCCAGGTACACACAGCGCCCTCACAGCCGGGTACACACAGCGCCCACACAGCCAGGTACACACAGCGCCCACACAGCCGGGTACACACAGCGCCCACACAGCCGGGTACACACAGCGCCCTCACAGCCAGGTACACACAGCGCCCTCACAGCCAGGTACACACAGCGCCCTCACAGCCAGGTACACACAGCGCCCACACAGCCAGGTACACACTGCGCCCTCACAGCCGGGTACACACAGCGCCCTCACAGCCAGGTACACACAGCGCCCTCACAGCCAGGTACACACAGCGCCCACACAGCCAGGTACACACAGCGCCCACACAGCCAGGTACACACAGCGCCCACACAGCCAGGTACACACAGCGCCCTCACAGCCAGGTACACACAGCGCCCTCACAGCCAGGTACACACAGCGCCCACACAGCCAGGTACACACTGCGCCCTCACAGCCGGGTACACACAGCGCCCTCACAGCCAGGTACACACAGCGCCCTCACAGCCAGGTACACACAGCGCCCACACAGCCAGGTACACACAGCGCCCACACAGCCAGGTACACACAGCGCCCACACAGCCAGGTACACACAGCGCCCTCACAGCCAGGTACACACAGCGCCCTCACAGCCAGGTACACACAGCGCCCACACAGCCAGGTACACACAGCGCCCACACAGCCAGGTACACACAGCGCCCTCACAGCCAGGTACACACAGCGCCCTCACAGCCAGGTACACACAGCGCCCACACAGCCAGGTACACACAGCGCCCACACAGCCGGGTACACACAGCGCCCTCACAACCAGGTACACACAGCGCCCACACAGCCAGGTACACACAGCGCCCACACAGCCAGGTACACACAGCGCCCTCACAGCCAGGTACACACAGCGCCCACACAGCCAGGTACACACAGCGCCCTCACAGCCAGGTACACACAGCGCCCACACAGCCAGGTACACACAGCGCCCTCACAGCAGGTACACACAGCGCCCACACAGCCAGGTACACACAGCGTCCTCACAGCAGGTACACACAGCGCCCACACAGCCAGGTACACACAGCGCCCACACAGCCAGGTACACACAGCGCCCACACAGCTGCGTACACACAGCGCCCACACAGCCAGGTACACACAGCGCCCTCACAGCTGGGTACACACAGCGCCTACACAGCCAGGTACACACAGCGCCCTCACAGCCAGGTACACACAGCGCCCACACAGCCAGGTACACACAGCGCCCTCACAGCAGGTACACACAGCGCCCACACAGCCAGGTACACACAGCGTCCTCACAGCAGGTACACACAGCGCCCACACAGCCAGGTACACACAGCGCCCACACAGCCAGGTACACACAGCGCCCACACAGCTGCGTACACACAGCGCCCACACAGCCAGGTACACACAGCGCCCTCACAGCTGGGTACACACAGCGCCCACACAGCCAGGTACACACAGCGCCCACACAGCCAGGTACACACAGCGCCCACACAGCCAGGTACACACAGCGCCCACACAGCCAGGTACACACAGCGCCCACACAGCCAGGTACACACAGCGCCTTCACAGCCAGGTACACACAGCGCCCACACAGCTGGGTACACACAGCGCCCTCACAGCCAGGTACACACAGCGCCCACACAGCTGGGTACACACAGCGCCCTCACAGCTGGGTACACACAGCGCCCACACAGCCAGGTACACACAGCGCCCTCACAGCCAGGTACACACAGCGCCCACACAGCCAGGTACACACAGCGCCCTCACAGCCAGGTACACACAGCGCCCTCACAGCCAGGTACACACAGCGCCCACACAGCTGCGTACACACAGCGCCCTCACTGCCAGGTACACACAGCAGACACAGCAAGCGACCAGGCAAGAGAGAGAAGGGTGGGCAGACTGCATATTTTTGGATTGTCAGAAAGCCTTTGATACAGTACCACACAAGAGGCTAGTGAAAAAGCTGGAGATGCAGACTGGAGTGAAAGGGAAGGTACTCCATTGGATAAAGGAGTACCTGAGTAACAGAAGACAGCGAGTCACTGTGAGGGGTGAGGCCTCAGATTGGCGAGGCGTCACTAGGTGAGTCCCGCAGGGTTCAGTCCTTGGACCCATACTGTTTCTGATATATGTAAATGATCTCCCAGAGGGTATAAACTCGCTCTTAATGTTTGCTGATGATGCAAAAATTATGAGGAGGATTGAAACAGAGGATGATAGTAGGAGGCTACAAGACGACCTAGACAGACTGAATAAATGGTCCAAAAAATGGCTGTTAAAGTTCAACCTGAGTAAATGCAAAGTAATGAAACTAGGCAGTGGAAACAGGAGGCCAGACACAGGATACAGAATAGGAGATGAAGTACTTCATGAAACGGACAGAGAGAAAGATCTAGGAGTTGATATCACACCAAACCTGTCTCCTGAAGCCTACATAAAAAGAATAACGTCTGCGGCATATGCGAGGCTGGCTAACATCAGAACAGCGTTCAGGAACCTGTGTAAGGAATCATTCAGAATCTTGTACACCACATTTGTAAGACCAATCCTGGAGTATGCGGCCCCAGCATGGAGCCCGTACCTTGTCAAGCACAAGACGAAGCTGGAAAAAGTTCAGGGGTATACCACTAGACTAGTCCCAGAACCGAGAGGCATGAGTTACGAGGAAAGGTGCATGAAATGCACCTCAAGAAACGGGAAGACAGAAGAGTAAGAGGAGACATGATCGCTACCTTCAAAATTCTCAGAGGAATTGACAGAGTAGATATGGATAAACTTTTTAACACGGGTGGTAGGCGAACAAGGGGACAGGTGGAAACTGAGTACCCAAATGAGCCACAGGAACGTTAGAAAGAGCTTTTTCAGTGTCAAAGTAGTTAACAGATGGAATGCATTAGGCAGTGATGTGGTGGAGGCTGACTCCATACACAGTTTCAAATGTAGATATGATAGAGCCCAGTAGGCTCAGGAATCTGTACACCAGTTGATTGACAGTTGAGAGGCGGGACCAAAGAGCCAGAGCTCAACCCCCGCAAGCACAACACAGCGAGTACAACTAAGTGAGAACAGCGGCGTCACTTAATGGCCACTAAACGCGATAACAGCACTGCTCCTGGCGACCCTGTACTCTCACTCTTGTCCTCCACCCTCGGGTACAATCATGGCCAGCAACCCTACCTTCCTCGGGTACAATCATGGCCAGCAACACTACCATCCTCGGGTACAATCATGGCCAGCAACCCTACCTTCCTCGGGTACAATCATGGCCAGCAACACTACCATCCTCGGGTACAATCATGGCCAGCAACCCTACCTTCTTCGGGTACAATCATGGCCAGCAACACTACCATCCTCGGGTACAATCATAGCCAGCAACCCTACCTTCCTCGGGTACAATCATGGCCAGCAACCCTACCTTCCTCGGGTACAATCATGGCCAGCAACACTACCATCCTCGGGTACAATCATGGCCAGCAACACTACCATCCTCGGGTACAATCATGGCCAGCAACACTACCATCCTCGGGTACAATCATGGCCAGCAACCCGACCTTCCTCGGGTACAATCATGGCCAGCAACCCGACCTTCCTCGGGTACAATCATGGCCAGCAACACTACCATCCTCGGGTACAATCATGGCCAGCAACCCGACCTTCCTCGGGTACAATCATGGCCAGCAACCCGACCTTCCTCGGGTACAATCATGGCCAGCAACACTACCATCCTCGGGTACAATCATGGCCAGCAACCCGACCTTCCTCGGGTACAATCATGGCCAGCAACCCTACCTCCCTCGGGTACAATCATGGCCAGCAACCCTACCTCCCTCGGGTACAATCATGGCCAGCAACCCGACCTTCTTCGGGTACAATTGTAATGGTCATTGTATTGACCGGTTTCCTCTTCCCACCCTTGCCCTCTCCTTCCCTTCCCCTCCCCACTTTCCCCACTTCCCTCACCATAGTCACGGCCATGACAAGTGGAGAGCAATAATCCAGCCTTACTATAACACGCCAGTCCTCGCTGTTGCCTGGGAAGGTGGTATTACAGGCGGCTGTGGTGTGTCAAGTAGAACAATCAGGTCTTGTTCACCTGTCTTTTTTTTTTTTTTTTTTATTAAGTTATGAGGTACATCTGCATTAGTGCAGCTACCCTAGACTATATGAAGTGGAGTACAGTGTGTCAAAAAAGCTAACTAGGTGATGCTATAAAATCCCCATCACACAGGATGGTTAGTCATACAGAGGCATGTGATAAGCGGTCTGCACTGGCAGACTCCGGATGCATTTTGAGGATATCAACAACACAAGATTGAATAAGGTAGCAGTGGTAATACAAGTCCCCATCTCGCAGGATGGTTAGTCATACAGAGCCATGTGTTTAATAGCCTGCACTGGCAAATTTTGGGTATACTGTGAGGATATCTTCAACAATACGAGAGTGAATAAAGTAATTGCAAAGCTCCAGGTACCTCATGCCAACTGGTCTGAAAGGTCTAATAACTGGGCATTCAGTGATGTAGTGCGGGAGATCATGCCGTAGTTCCTGCTCACAGAGTTTGCAACTGGAGTGCTCAGGATTGGGAGACCTGTCAACCGGTCTACAGGAGACACACTCTACGGGAGTAAAACCATACTTTTCAGGCTGGCCTGACTTGTGGCCTGGACGGCGGTAGGGTAGAGATAAGGAGAGGCCGCGGATTGGCTGTAGACCTCCGGAAAAGGGGAGGTGCCTGGCACCTTATACGTAAGAATGCCAGATCTCAGGCAAGGTTTGAAATGATTGGATTAGCCCTGGATAATGTGTGTGACTTAGGGCCAGATAGGACGTTGGGTAGGTCCAGGAGTCCACCTTGGGGAGACCCAAAGATATTTTGAAATGTGATTTGGAGTGTGAACTCGGGCAGCCACCAAGGGCCTGGGGTGGAGAGCCATCAACATCATTTGGCTGGTAATTCCAGGGATAAGGTAACGTGTTGCTGAGTTTTTGGACACCTGGATAATTGCCCCCAATTGCCTCAGTAGGATTGATTAACAGACATATAGGATATAATTTATGTATCTTTTCTTAAAAAAAAAAGTTCATATTGATTTATTTTGTTGTTTAGTTAATCTTTCTTCTTTGATACCTGATCAACCAGGCTGTGACTCATACGTCAGGCTGCGAGCAGCCGCGTCCAACAGCCTGGTTGATCTGTCCAACAACCAGGAGGCCTGGTCGACGACCGGGCCGCGGGGACACTAAGCCCCGGAAGCACCTCAAGGTAACCTCAAGGTAAGGTAAGGTTCCCTCTGATTCATTTTGAGTCATTAAATTTCTCACTACGTGCTGTGTTGGGAGGCTCCCTGCGTTCCTCCATGCCATTCTGTATTAAACTTCCCCCTTCGATTATAAGTAAAGTAAAGAGTTTTTTTTATAAATTATCCTGAGCGTTAATTTCCAAGGTTCCTACGTCCTTCGAGTTCATAATTATTGGTCTTTATCCTGCCCTGGGAGCCCTGGGAGCCCTGGGAGCCCTGGGAGATCAGTAAATAAAGTCACATTCGGGTAACAGGAAGGTTGTAGCAGTGTTTCAACAAGTAAGGCTTTATTAATATTAGAGATATAACAACAGTTGTAGTTTCCCCTTTTAAATAATTCAGTGTAACATAGAGCTGGTGAGTTCAGTATGGGTCAAAGTGGGCTTGGTAACCTGTGTTAAGCTGGGGTTTATAATTGTGGTTACAATCCGGTGTTACACAATCACGGCCAGCAACACTACCTTCCTCGGGTACAATCATGGCCGTGATTGACGATCAGTCTGCGCCAGACCCTGAGCCATAAGGGGTCCCCTTAGTGTCCATTAACGTCCCCCCCCTTACACCTCAAGACCTAGCACCTAGCACCTCGGAGCCTGTGTCATGGCAGACAACATCCAGCACTTTAGAGCATGTGTCAGGGCTGGGAAGACGACACCAGCACCTGAGAGCATGTGTCAGGGCTGGGAAGACGACACCAGCACCTGAGAGCATGTGTCAGGGCTGGGAAGACGACACCAGCACCTGAGAGCATGTGTCAGGGCTGGGAAGACGGCACCCAGCACCTGAGTGCATGTGTCAGGGCTGGGAAGACGACACCAGCACCTGAGTGCATGTGTCAGGGCTGGGAAGACGACACCAGCACCTGAGTGCATGTGTCAGGGCTGGGAAGACGACACCAGCACCTGAGTGCATGTGTCAGGGCTGGGAAGACGACACCAGCACCTGAGAGCATGTGTCAGGGCTGGGAAGACGACACCAGCACCTGAGAGAATGTGTCAGGGCTGGGAAGACGACACCAGCACCTGAGTGCATGTGTCAGGGCTGGGAAGACGACACCAGCACCTGAGAGAATGTGTCAGGGCTGGGAAGACGACACCAGCACCTGAGAGAATGTGTCAGGGCTGGGAAGACGACACCAGCACCTGAGAGAATGTGTCAGGGCTGGGAAGACGACACCAGCACCTAGGAGGCCTCAAGGTCGACCTTAGTGAGTGTTGTCCCCTAATAAGGGGTGATATCATTAAGGATGCGATATATTAACATTGACAGAGTGGGCCCAGAGGCTTCTCCATCACCTTCCTTACTCTTCACTCCACCCACCTCCACCCACTTACACCCACCTCCACCCACTTACACCCACCTCCACCCACTTACACCCACCTCCACCCACCTACACCCACCTCCACCCACCTACACCCACCTCCACCCACTTACACCCACCTCCACCCACTTACACCCACCTCCACCCACCTACACCCACCTCCACCCACCTACACCCACCTCCACCCACTTACACCCACCTCCACCCACCTACACCCACCTACACCCACCTCCACCCACCTCCACCCACTTACACCCACCTCCACCCACTTACACCCACCTCCACCCACCTCCACCCACCTCCACCCACTTACACCCACCTACACCCACCTACAGCCATGTCAGAAATTTCCGACACCCAGAGTACTAACCTCAGGCACAGCAAGATGAATACGTCGTGTCAGGAAATTCATTTTACTAACATATTAATTTCCAGTAAGGGAATGCAAAAAGTTCCTAGACTCGACGGTTGCCTCAGCCACCACAGACCACGCCGGGATTATTTCCTTGCTTAACTCTTAACAAATCCAGTCTTCAATTCGCTTTCATTTCCAATTATTGGAAATTAATTAAACTTATATAGAAATGAAGTATCCTTCCATCCCCGGGTTAATTACCGCAGCAGTGAAAGTTATATCACTGCTGGCAAAATAATTGTCACACAAGGCATTCAGCACTTATTAAATGTGCTTTAAAACTCCACAAACTCTCGCCCAGCGTTAGCAACAGTGGAAAACTGTTCTCTGGAATTTAGAGTAATATATTAGGGCGTAAAATGACGCCACTTCCGTCTCGTTAACGAAAGTGTTGAATTAAACAGCACGATTGGGGGAGGGAAGACGCCAGCGTCGTCAAGTACTTGGGTGCCACAGCCCTCAGACGTTGCTGCTATCTCCACACAAGGGAAATTGTATTCGGTCGGTTTTAAGTGCTCAATTGAAATATTTATGGCCATATTATATGTTCTGAGAGTAAACTGGTCGTTACACCACACCAAGTTACACCTAAAGTTCCTGTACTGTAATAATAGGTATTTGTATGGTCAGCACAGTAACCGGACCAGCCAATGTGATGTAGTCATTGCGCGAATTCGCCTTGGCTATACACACATCTGGCAGGTTAGTGAGGCTGAGCCACTACCAGAATACTCAGATTGTAAACTCTGTGATAAACCTTTAATGCATTCACTAGAACACTATATTGATGAATGTGAAACCGTAAAGGACTTTAGACCTCCTGGCCTCTTGTACCACCAACTGTGTAACTATTTTATTGACTCAGGTGTTCTGGACGACATCCTAACAATTTACCCAAAATTTGCTTGTCCATTTTAAAGAATGAAGAACAATTTCTATTTATACTCTAAGCTGCATCACTTATGAACCCATCCCTGCCCTTGTGTGGCAGTGCACAATAGAAAGTTGTTGTCACATATTCATACATTAACACATTGATTGTAACCATGATATATATGTGCTTCAGCCTACAGTTTAGACCTATTGTCTTATGTATGACCCTCTGTCCTGCGTGACAGTGAATACCAGCATTATCCTCACTTTAATAAGACTATCAAAATCCTCAGATTAGGCAAAATTGTAATTAATTTTGTCAATAAAGATGTTAATAATAATAACCTAAAGTTCCATGGTAAGCTTGGGTCTAGATAACTGGTTATCTCTATTTGAGACTAGCTGAGAGAATATTGATATTCCGGGAGTTATATAGTATACCTTTGACAGAGAGGTGATCAACTGGGAGTCAGCTGCCTTAACTTGCCGTTACCGGTAGACCAGACGTCACCGGTGGACCAGACGTCACCGGTGGACCAGACGCCACCGGTGGACCAGACGTCACCGGTGGACCAGACGCCACCGGTGGA